ATAAGTAACTTCAGTAACACAGTGTTATGGGAATTAGGAGAGTAGTTCTAAATGTGGCATGTTGTAAGATTGTAAAATTTAGGATTTGAGTTGAAATTATGGATGAGGCTGAGTCAGTATGTGAAAGGAAGAACATCATAGAGAAGATAATAGCATGAATGTTTTTAGTTTAGGGAACATCAAGCAGATCTACATGTCAGGTCCAGGTAGAGGATGAAGAGAATTTAGAGTAACAGACAAGGCCATGCTGTAAAGGTCTGACAGGGCTAGACTGAGAAATTTAGGTTTTATTCTATGAGCAAAGAGGAGTCATCAAAATGTTGGATTAGTGGGTAATAAGATCATATCAGTGTTTTAATACTGTAATTCTGGGGGTAGAATGAATCAGGGCAAAGGACTGGAGACAGGGAGATGCAGTAAGTTGCTTAAATAATTCAAGTGAGCATTAACAAGAGTCTGAATTTGATGAATAGAAAGGCAGAGGCAGATGGAAAAGACTTTGAGGTAGAACTGGTGACCGAATGGGGAGGATGAAGGACTGGGAGTAGCTGAAGATTCCTAGACCTTGAGCCTTTCTAGGAGGATGAGATGCTTTTAAGTAGAGGTAGAAGGAGAGTAGAAGTGGAGCAGAGGAGATGTCATGAGAGGGGAAGAGTAGGATGAAGAATAAAGAATTTTCCCCTTAATAAAAAAAAGCAAACTATTAAGAACTGGTATATTTAAGACATGCAGATAAGTCAGTGAAATACCATTTTGTGCTCATCAGATAAAGATGAAAGTGTTTTGTAATTCTCAGGCTTATATACACTATTACTATTATTATTATTGAGACTGAGTATTGCTCTGTCACCAGGCTGGAGTGCGGTGGCACAACCTCTGCTCACTGCAGCCTCCCCCTCCTTGGTTCAAGCGATTCTTCTGCCTCAGCCTCCCAAGTAGTTGGGATTACAGGTGCTTGCTACCACGCCCGGCTAATTTTTGTATTTTTAGTAGATTCGGGGTTTCATCGTGGTGGTCAGGCTGGTCTCAAACTCCTGATCTCAAGTGATCTGCCCGCCTCATCCTCCCACTGTTGGTAGGTTATTAAACTGAGACATTTTCTTGGAGGATAATTTGGCAATACTCATCAAAGTCCTTTACTTTGCAATTCTACCTTTATGTATCTGGTAGACAGATATCCAGAGGTTATCCTACAGATAACTTTGCAAATATACATAAATGTGAACTTATTTTTGTGTATGTATGCTTATGTACGTGTGTGTATATATATGGATTTATAATAGCACATAAGCACAAAACTTCAATCTGAACATTCAGTATAGGACTGATTAAATTATGTTGCAGCCACACAATGGGAGGGAATTCTGAGCAGACCATCTGTGCTGATAATGGAAAGATACTTATCTTCAACATATTTACGTAAAAAACAAAAAACCCTGCAAGTTATAGAAAGTCTAAACTATGTTCCTGTTTGTGTCTGTTTGCATGAGTGTGCATGGAAATTTTCTGGAAAAATATGTTGTTACTGGTGGTTGCTCCTGGGAAGTCGGGGCAGTGGGTGTTCAGAATGGGGATATAGTGAACTCTTCAATATATAACCCTATATATAAACCATTTATTAAGGTTTCCATGTGTTAATTTTTTTTTTTTTTAAGTTGATGCCTTACATTTAGGCAGGCCGGGCATGGTGGCTCATGCCTGTAATCCTTGCATTTTGGGAGGCTGAGGTTGGTGGATCACTTGAGGTCAGGAGTTCGAGACCAGCCTGGCTAACATGGTGAAACCCCGTCTCTACTAAAAATACAAAAAAATTAGCCAGGCATGGTGGCACGTGCCTGTAATCCCAGCTACTTGGGATGCCAAAGCAGGAGAATCGCTTGAATCAGGAGGCAGAGGTTGCAGTGAGCCAAGATATGTCACTGCACTCCAGCCTGGGTGACAGAGTGAGACTTCATCTCATAAGATAAAAAAATTACTTAGGCAGTATGTTTCCATTTAGGTTGCAAGGCGTTTATTGATTTCATTGTTAAGCTAGCCTTACAAAATATATACATACACACACATATAAATTAGTTAAACCAAACTATTTTTTTCTAGTCTTATTAATCTCAGAATAATTACTGAAAGATGAATCTAGGTTTTTTGTTTAGGCTTCTGTTAGAACAAATAGTTTGGATGGACTGATAAAAAATATGTGTATATCTTTCAGGATGTTGCTGGAGCACTGTCAGTAGAAGAAATCACTGAACTACTCAGTCTCCATAAATTATGCTGTGGCCGTAGCTGGTATATTCAGGGCTGTGATGCTCGAAGTGGTATGGGACTGTATGAAGGGTTGGACTGGCTCTCACGGCAACTTGTGGCTGCTGGAGTACTGGATGTTGCTTGATTTTAAATGCAGCAGTTGTTTGAAGTTTTATGGTTAAGAGTAACTTTGCAACTAATATGTTTTAAGAAATTATACATCTCAAAAGATGGTAATTTAGGATATATATATATATAAAAATATAAAGGAATCTTGGATTGGATTGGGAATTCAGCATATTGCTTTAAAAAAATTTTGTGGCAAAATTAAATTTCTAATTGAGCAGATTAGATTGATTTAAATAGAAATTTATTGAATATACATTCTTTTAAAAAGTATATTTGTTATTTAAGTTTTTCAGATAATGTGACCAATGTACTGGGAAAGAGGTAGTCACAGAGAAAGGGTAAGTGAAGGTTTATTCTTTCAGTGAAAAAAAAAATAGCCAATTGAGTGCCTAATGAGACCTCTGTGTGAAGCAAGTGAAGTATAGCTTCTTCTTTTAACCTGCCTTTTCACTGAATGTTGGCAGTATTCAGTAGTAGAAATGACAGTTGCTTAATGAAATAGAATCCAAACTACATCTTTGGATAATAGGATTACTTTATGTTTATGTTCAGAGTTAACAGAACACCTTTAATGCTAAGAACTATAAGGTATAGAAAATTAATATTTTATATAGTGTTTTATTAACTTTCTCCTACAGCATTTTGTATAAAACACAGTGAGACAGAGTGAAGTGTTACCTAATTAGGCTTGTCAGATTAGTAATAAACTGAACAGTAATAAAACTGTGAAAGTAATTGGATCTTCATTTATGAAAGACCCATTTTCAGGACCGAACCTAGGTCAGAGTTCTAAATTGGTCCTTCTATTTTCAACATATTTAAAGTAGTATTTCTTTCTAATATAATACTGCATCCTTTGTGGGAATGACTATAGGTAAAATGTAGTAAGTTACACAGAACCAGGGCTGGCTTTATGTAAAAGCTAGTGACCTAAATAGAAAACGAACTTTAAGAGAAGTTGTTAGTACAGTGGGGAATGCTTATTACTTACTTCAAACTGTTTCCCAAAATAAGTGCATTTATTTTGACAATAAAACTTAAGGCTCTTCATGAAAAGGCCTTGAAAAGTTACTCTAGAGGAAAAATGTCTAAAGGAAAAAAAAAATTCAAAAAGTTTACATTAATTATTCAGTGTTGTGAGTAAATAAAAATGTGTGCTCTTTACTGTTTTTCATTTTTAAAGGATACTCTCTTATTATGGAAGCACGATTTATTTAAATAGGTACATTGAGATTTTGTGTGTTTTTTAAAAAATGTTCTGATACATTAGGATGAAGTTAAATCTTAAATCTCATTAGTTGAATTGTTATAAGGACAGTGATGTCTGGTAACAAGATGTGACTTTTTGGTAGCACTGTTTTGGTTCAGTCTTTTCAAATCTATTTTTGTTTGTTTAAAAACAATACAACTTTTAAAAAACAAAGCATTAAAAAAAAAAGCCTATCAGTGTTATGGGCAATATGTAAATAAGTAAATATAATATTTCATCCTTTATTTTTCAGGTAAAAGGTCATGCTGTTACAAGTGTAGTTTGTGTGCATAAATAATACTTCTGAATTAAATTATTTAATATTTGACTGATTTCAATAACTGTGAAAAATAAAAAAGGTGTTGTATTGCTTGTGAGAACTTGAACTGTACTAGTTAATTGAAGAAAAAAAAAGTGTAACACTAAGGTGAACTTGCTTCCCTTTTCACCAATTTTGCTAAACTTTGTAATGCATTGTTAGCATATAACTGAACACAATTTAAAAATTGTGCCTATACCTGATTATAATGTATGTATAACGGTAGGTGTTTGTGTGTGATTCCTTTTTAAAGAAATATTTTCCTCAAGCTCCTATTACTATTTGTGGTTGTGGTTGTATTATTTCACTAATCATTAGTTAGGACTATGCTAGTCTCCCCTGGGAAACTAAGACAGCTGTTTTAAATACAGTATATTAGAATTTTCCTAATAGCTCTGAATTTCTGTATTAGGTCTAAATATTACTGTATGGTTATATAAAGCAGATATGTCAAGTGTATAGCCCTAGTCTATAATTCAGGAATGCTTTATAACCATCAGAAGCCATTATTTGCACTACATATATGATAAGTATAGACAGCAATAAAATGTTAAGATCATTTTTAAGAAGTCCTATCATTCTTGAAAGTCTCTTTCTTGAACCATCTATCTAGTATTATTAGTAGTTAGTAACCAATTTAAGAAGTCATTATTTGTGCTGTGATTGAGAGAAAATAAAACAAAATGGGCATGGGTTGACATGCCTGTCGAATTTGAGATAGTTTATTTGATACAGCAAAATTTTAGAAATAACGTTTTGAATTTGCAACATAGGCCACATTTACTTATGAGAACAGATACTACACTTGATTTTAGCCAAAAGGCCGAGAAGTGATGTGCAGGCCATATTTAAATAAGTAATATAACCATAGTGTTTTGAAGGCGGAGCTAAAGTTTTACATTAACAAAGTGAAACTTTGTTACTGCCTTTTAAATTTTAAATGTAAACTTGTTTCATAAGAAAACACAGCATTTTAAATGATCATTTTAGAAAATGGCTTGCAAAACTTAGCCATAGCTCATGAACTAATACTGCTAAGAGAAAGGCTTTTTATGTAACATTAGGATACTTCTCAACTGGCAAAGTGGTAGCAGGGAAGAAGACAGCTGTATTCTTCCCTAAAAGAATAAAGGATGAAAAGGACTAATGAATAAGAATGAAATTATATCCTGATAACTTAAAACATGCTTTTAAAAAGACATGGACAATGTATGTTTTTAGGTCTGCCAATTAAGTTTTTAGCATTAATGGAAAAATTCATTAGTCAAATATGGTTTTCACTCAAAGCAAAATAATTGTATTCGTTGGGGAATGAGGCATCACCACCACTTGGTGGCAATATTACCAAAGATTTAGATTAAATTTTTAGGAATGAATAAAGCTAGGTAGGTAAGTCTAAACAACTAAAATTAGAAAGAAACAGTAAATGTCACATTGAAAAGTCACTTTCATGTCCAACTGTAAGTTCTACTTTTAAAAAGGAGCATACATTACAGGAGCACAATCTGGCATAATCTCCTATTTCACAAGTTTGTGGCATAAAATAAATAAAGGAAAGAATCCTGCTGATCAATAGAAGGAAAAGTTTAAGCAGATTTAAAACTTCAGAATATAAATTCCCTACACAGGTCTGTTGAGCATGTTCTTCCTGTAAGTTTCTGAAAGAGTCTTTCTGGAATCGAAGCAGTGGGTCTTAATAGTTATGAACTAAGTTATAAGCCTAAGTGAAGAAATCAGTATAAGAATTTGTGCTCATATTATTTTACTGCTCCAATTTCTACTACTCTCTCCATTGTTAGATAGCAAAATTTTTATGTATACTTCTTAATGGTATATTTTCTAAAGATATAACTTGAGGACAGAAAAAACTGTTTACCTATGTTAGAAAAATAATCTGAGAGAGTAATCAACCTGCATACAATAAACCAAGGACTCGGGTATTCACTTATTCTGAATCTTTCATTTGAAAGAATATTTCATAATTATTAAGGAATATAACACTTTGACCAAAGTGACTTCTTGTTTATTGAGGCTTTACCTACCACTACTTACTAAACAATTATCAAAAGACTAAAATATTTGGCATTAAAACCTTGCAAAACAAAGGAAATGACATATAATATCAGATCCTAGTATTTTTTCTTAGACGAGGGATCTGCACTCCTCTAAACATAAGGGCAGAGTATCTGGCATGTATTCAAAAAGTAAAGCACAGGTGTGTACCACTGTCATTATTTAATAGGGTTGTCATTGCACAGGATACCTTCTAAGACCTCCAGTGGATGCCTGAAACTTCAGATGATACTAAACCCCATATATATTGTTTTTTCCTATATATATATCTATGATAAGGTTTAATTTATAAATTAGGCACAGTAAGAGATTAACAACAATAAAATAGAATAATTATAGCAGTATACTATAATAAAAGTTATGTGAATGTGGTCTTGCTGTCTGAAAAGATCTCACTGTATTGTGCTCACCTATTTTTGGATTGTGGTTGACAGTGAAAAAAAAAAACCATGTGGAAAGGGGGTGGGGGAGAGTGTCGTAATTATTTAATATTTAATTTGAGGCTCATTAGCAATTACCTATAATGAGTGCTGTTTGCCTGAGTTTAGTCCATTTCAATTTATCACCTCCCAGGATTAGAAATATTGCAAGAAAAGTCAAAGGTAATTTTTAAAAAATAGCCTTTAATAAAAAATACAAAAATATAATACTGTATCTTTGAAACATGATCTGTATATTCAGCAAGTCCTAAGCTTCCTAATGTAAAATAATCTGTTTAATACTGCATTTTTATTTGCAAGTACATTAAAACAAATCTTATTTTACTTGACAGTAATATTTATGATGCTGACATCCTCATAGGGCTTATCTGTTTTGGGATTGACTTTGACGTTGGAGATCCTCTGTACAACTTCCATTCCTTTAGTCACTCGTCCAAATACTGTGTGCTTATTATCAAGCCAAGGCTGTGTTGGAGGACAAATGGAAAATCTTGGTAAACCCCAATTTCTTTAAATTATATCCTCCGGTTGAGCAAATTAAAGAGAATTTAAGTGTGGGCTCCCCTTTAGCATATATTTAAAAAGAAGTACAATAATTTCTTAGCAATAAAAAGGTAGCAGCTTTTAAAAGTTACTTCCAGTGTATTTAAAAAAAAATAGAAGCATAGTATAATGTTTAATTAAATATCTGCATCTTTCAGACCAAAGGGAAATGGAAGATCTTCCCTAAAGGTAAGTTACTTCACATGGCTTACAGAATTGTGGCTAAGAATTTAAAAGGTCTCTGGAGCACTCTTACCTGAACAGTTTATTCAGAAGCAGTTTGAAATAGTTTAAGCAGCACATACTTTGGCATTAGACAGATGGGAGTTCAAATGCTAGCTTGGCTACCTGACCTTTTGGCAAGTTAATCATGTCTGTTTCTTCATCTATTATTGAAAACTGGGGATACTGATACTAGAAGTACTGTGAATACTACATGAAACTATGTGCCTGGCAGATGGTAGTTATAAATATTTTTCCTTTCTTCATCACTTAGTGTTTAATTCTAAAACAAAAAGTAGGTAATTTTTATAATTTTGTGTTACTGCATAGCAATAGAGCGAGGTTACCTTAAACTGTATTTCATCAAATCTAAAATGTAATTGATTATGAGTTGTATTCTGATTTCAGAGATACTAAAATGTGGGAGAAATTGTCTCAAAATTGTGAATTCATATACTCTAATCCTTGTATTCTGAAGATGAGGAAATAGGCCCACAGAAGTGAAATAATTTATTTTAGGTTACATCATCAAGTAGAGGCAAAGTTGACATTGAAACTCAAGTATCTTGAATTGTAGTCCATTGTATTTCTTACTACAGTGGAAGTTTTGTTTTACTAAGTCTAAACTGATTAGTCACATAATTTTATATTTTCTTCTCGATCATTTTCATATTTGTATTCTGTAGATGATATAAATAATGCAGAAAATACAGAATAATGCAGCTCTTCTACTGAGTTCACTCTCTTACATCATAACCTATCAATCTGTAGTTTATAAACAATGATATTGTACTTACTGTTGGTACTACTGTTATGAAAAACTGGGATCCATTAGTATTTGATCCTGCGTTAGCCATGCTGAGTGTGTATGGTCTGTCATGTCGTAATGTTGAATGAAATTCATCTTCAAATTCTCCTCCCCATATGCTTTCTCCTCCCATACCAGTACCTGTTGGATCTCCTGTCTGAATCATGAAGCCCTTAACAGAAAGTACACAAAAACATTACACTGTCCTTTTCTATATAGGTATACTTTGAAGTTTCATTTCTGCCAAGAGTGCTATGTATTCAGTGTAATATTAACTGTGACTATAAAGTGATTTGATTAAACCCTTACACTTAAATTTGGATGATGTACTTCCATTGCTCAACCACCACCTTGATTGAAAGGTCGTCTTCTCATTTATAGACATGTTCTATCTTTCCCAATAACCTAAATAAAGCCAGTTAATACTATAAATTTTAGGATCTGTATGTTATTTTATGTTTTATATAATTGCCCTCCTCTTCTCCCTCTCCCTTTCCTGAAATACTCTGGATTTCCTGGAAAGCCTTTTCACTAATTCCTTTAGGACCCTGAGATCTGACTTTCCATCCTGCCATTTCTGACCTGCCAGAAACCAAGCACTGTATCACTGTCCCATCCACTTTATGGAAAGCTGCTCAACAAAATCCAGGGGCTGAGTTCTCTCTCCTCCTCTGGTGTATTACAGGTTCTCACAGATCAGATGGCACTGTGGCTCCTCTATGATTGAAAAATCGTATCTTCTAGATCTAGACCCTATCTAGCTACTACAAACATGTTACCTAGGTTACTGATGTTATCTCAGCATGACCCTTTATTCATTATCTTACCCTTTACTTTAGCTGCTGACAAAATATTGCTTCAGTGTTTCTAAACAGGTAATCATGCCACTATTCCTGTTGATTCTAGATGTTGATATTTATGACCATCCACTCCTCCTTTGGCTTCCATAGTATATTTTTCCTGTTCCTTTCCACTAAACTGGTAAGCATGAGAGAAGAAGATTCCTTGCACTTAAATCTCTTGCTACGTAATAATATAGTATTTCTTAAATCACATGAAATTTGTGTAACTTACCTTAATTATACGGTGAAATGTATGCCCATTATAATAACCATTTCTGCTGTGAACACAGAAGTTTTCCACTGTCTTAGGGCACCTATTAAGACATATATTACCAATATGAAACCTATTCAGAGCATCTTAAAACAGTTTTCTTTGCAGTTCTGCTTCCTAATGATGTTCTATGTCTTATGAATGTTTCAGAAGGACAGTCTTTTTTTTTTTTTTTTTAATAACCTCTAATCTCAGGACAAGCATGGAGGGGCATGTAAGTAGTATATTCTTATTGTTTAACTTAGTTATCTTTAGAACATGACTGCTTAACTAATATTTGAGTTTGACAGTACTAAGATTTCAAGGTCATTTAGCAGTTAAAAAAAATACAGCTGGCCAGGTGCGGTGGCTCACGCCTGTAATCCCAGCACTTTGGGAGGCCGAGATGGGCGGATCATGAAGTCAGGAGATCCAGATCATCCTGACTAACACAGTGAAAACCCCATCTCTATTAAAAATGCAAAAAATTAGCTGGGTATGGTGGCGGGCGCCTGTAGTCCCAGCTACTTGGGAGGCTGAGGCAGGAGAACGGCGTGAACCCAGGAAGCGGAGCTTGCAGTGAGCCGAGATCGCGCCACTGTACTCCAGCCTGGGCAACAAAGCGAGACTCCCATCTCAAAAAAAAAAAAGAAAAGAAAAGAAAAGAAAAATACAGCCACAGCACCTTAAAAATATGTTTTTTCTTAAGAGACAGGGTCTCACTATATTGCCTAGGCTGATCTTGACCTTCTAGGCTCAAGAGATCCTCCTGCCTCAGCCTCCTAAAGTGCTGGGATTACAGGCCTGCACCTGGCCCAACATCTTAAGTTAGTTTACTCCATATAGTATTATAGGTCTGCATGTAGTAGTACAGGTTAAGTTCCTGGGAAAGGTCATTTTCTTACAACGACATATTCTTGGCCAAAACCTTAATCATAGAAATGACATCTAAATTTATCCAACTTTAAATGACAGTCTCACTCAGAGTATGAAGCTTTTTCAGTAATATTAACTGATATTATGCAATTATTTCATATGATCCATTACCATGTAATACTTCTAAGAGCTGGAAATGGATGAACCAAGAGAATCTTGTACCCAAGTACATCTGCAAACAAGGCCGAAGAGCACATGGGTTTTGAGCACTTAAACTGAGTGTCCAAGATTTGAGAACTGCCTAGTTATTTGTTGAGTACCAAGATATGGTACAAAACATTCATATTCAAAATATTAATAACTTTTAAGTAAAAGTGTTGTAAAAGATGTCATTTTTTGGGTCAAGAATGGCCCGAAATACTCTACTGTATTTGACATTGTATGTTAATTTTAAAATCTTTTAAACTGTCCAGAAAACCGTTCATCTTTTTTTCAATTGAAGTCCTTACGGTTTTGTTGTAATTTGTTTTTGTAGAAACAGAGTCTCACTCTGTTGCCCAGGTTGGAGTGCAGTGGTGTGACCATAGCCAATTGCAGCCTCAAACTCCTGGGCTCAAGACATCTTTTGACCTCAGCCTCTAGCAGAGTCAGGAATACAGGTGCGTGCCACCATGCCCAGCTAATAAAAAAAATTTTTTTTTAGGAGACAGGGTCTTGCCATATTGCTTGGGCTAGTCTCAAACTGCTGGCCTCCACTGATCTTCCTGTCTCAACCTAATGAATAGCTGGGATTACAAGTGCGTGCCACTGCACCCAGCTTATAGTTCACTTTTGAAACACAGAGCTATTGAAACTAAAGAGATAGGTATCTAGCAACTGTTCGTAAGGAAACATAATTATCTTTCTTTTAAGGATTTGCTTTGAGAGGAAAGCAAAGCAATCCACAAAACCTAGAGTTTGTGCTGTTAGAGATGTGCTGTTAACACATTTGCATATCACTTTACAGTTTACACTCAGCACTTTCATAGCCAATATATTTTGTCTTCGTAATGAACCTATGAAGTATATATGTATAAAAATTTTCCATTTTCTACCATAACACTTATCAGAAAGCTCAGGAATAGATGTTTTTTATCAAACATTTCTTCAAAATTCCTTAAGTCAAAGTAACGGGAATTTTAAGTTGCATGGTTTCTTCAGATATACACATTTACATTCTTAATTATGTAAGCCAATACCAACAGTTATACATACTCAACAGGAAAAAGTTTGGTGTGAATGTCTCCCATGCTGGTGTGGATAATGGCACTATCCGAAACTCGTTTAGGTCCTTCAGCTTGAGTAGCTGCCATGACTTCTTCTTTAGAAGGTTTCTCATTAAAAACATCTCGATCAGAATCTGCACTTTTTGTATCTTCTGGTTCTCGTTTGGTAAACTCAAGGAGGAAAGTAAAAAGTGAGTGAACAAATTAAAGTTTTCATCTGGTAAAAATTTTATGAACAATAGAATTTCTAATTAAGTACTTAAGAAATGTAAGAATTCACATCAGAATCCTTATTTCAGGAATCATTTCCCATCACAGGATGTGTCAGGCAATTAAATTATTTTTACATTGTCTAATATGAAAATGATCCACATAACATACTGAACACATTGATTTCAAACGGAATTTAATTTCTTTTGGGTAGAAATTTTCTTGGGCAAACATTTAACAAGAATAATTGTTTCATTTGTGGTAGCTCTCAACTTATGCCTTCTAGTAAGGCCTAACGTGCCACCTGTTTATTGCTCACTTCATTATTTAGATTGTTTGGATTTGAATTCCAATTCTACAACTTTGGGGATGTGAATTCATTTCTTCCCTCATTCATATATGATGATAACAGTACCTACCTTGCAATGAAGGTAGTTGTGAAGATTAAACAAATAGATATTAAGTCCTTGGAGAACAGTACCTAATACATAGAGGGTACTATATACATATTAACAGTTGTTATTACTACTATGAGCAGGACCTCGTGCTAGGTAGAAAAAGGATTCACAAAAATGAATCAGTAATGGATCCTTAATTTTTTTTTTCCACAGTCCCACCTGACCTATCTAAACCCTGAAGCATAGGAGAAAGAATGAAAATTTTCAGTGAAGTTGTAGACATCTCAGATCCTCGGGGTCTAGGAAGAATTGAGAAAAACCTTTCAGTTGTTCAAACTCTGGACTTCTCAAGGCCTGTTTATTTTACTTTAAGTAGAAATGCTCTTTCCTGAGCAACCTCTATCTGATGTCAACTTAATTATGGGAACGTAAAGCTAGTGCCTCCATCTTGTCTAATGTCATTCCTTGATCTGCTTGGATAGATTCCAAATAAACAACCAAGTTAGGATGCTATCACCTTAACATCCTATTCTCTAGTTTTCAAAGGAATGGCATGTCTGTTGTACTATTTGTTTATATGAATTTTTTTTAAGTTATCATGATTTAGCTCATATATGGATTTGTAAAATTATACTTTTATTTCATGATATTGGATCTGAGAAACAGGACACAAAATTCATATATATGCATACCATTTTAGTTTTGCTTAAGAATATGTACTAGTAAGACTCAAAGAAAATTCATAACAATATTAGCTGTATAAAGCTACAGTGAATGACCATTTTGTTTCTCTATTTTTTCAAACTTTATAATGAATATATACACTTTAATCAACGTACAAGTAAACTTGGAAAAGAAAAAATACAACAAAGTTTTTTGAATAAAGTGGATGGAAAATTAGTATATGTTTTTAGTGTATATCAAGAAGTATCTTTTTTTTTGCCTCTTTTTGTTTAGCAATAGGGTCTTGCTCTGTCTCCCAGGCTGAAGTGTAGTGGTGTGATCATAGCTCCCTGCAACCTTGAATTCCTCAGCTCAAGAGATCCTACCACCTCAGCTTCCAGAATGGCTGAGACCACATGTGCACACCACCGTGCCTGGTTAGCTTCTTAAATTTTTTGTAGAGATGAGATCTTGCTATGTAGCCCAGGCAGCTCTTGGTCCTGGGCTCAAGTGATTTGCCTGCTTTGGCCTCCCAAAGTGCTGGATTTACAGGGTAAGTCACCATTCCTGGCCAAGAATTATCTTTTATGGGTAATTTTTACTTCATAACAAAGTTAAATTACAGTTAAAAACGATTAATTTTTTTCTTTCATATACTAATAAATTTTTAGTAACGATTTTGAAAGTTGTAAATGAAATTCTCATCTTAAAAGAATTTACCCATTTAGTTGGAAGGTTTGTTGAGGTAGGGAAACTGCTACTTCATACATTTGTCAAATGCTGTTAACCTTAATAGCATTACAACAGTTTACAATATTTTGGAGGAATGAATGAATATATTATAATGTGTTAGTCATTTTCTTAACTTTCTGGATTTAACAGTGAAGAAGACATAGTGCCTGTATTTATGGATTTTATCTTCAGAAGAAGAGCACAGCGTCAGAGACAAAAGAAATAATTGATGTTCACACAAAAAGTGTGACACATCATATGACGGAGAAGCAAAGGAGAAACATAAGCAGGCACACCTAACTCAGACTTGATGTTATAAAGGGCTTCTAGGCTGGGTGCGGTGGCTCACGCCCGTAATTCCAGCACTTACGGAGGCTGAGTCAGGTGGATCACCAGAGGTCAAGAGTTCAAGAACAGCCTGGCCAACATGGTGAAACCCTGTCACTACTGAAAATACAAAAATTAGCTGGGTGTGGTGGCATGCACCTCTAATCCCAGCTACCCAGGAGGCTGAGGCAGGCGAATCGCTGGAACCCAGGAGGCAGAGGCTGCAGTGAGCTGAAGTCACATCACTGCACTCCAGCCTGGGCAACAGAACAAGATACCATCTCCAAAACAAAACAAAACAAAACAAAAAAACAAAAAAAAAGGGTGCTTCCAAACTGAGACTTGAAGTATGAGTTAGGAGTTGGAGAGAAGTGTATGGCTGGCAGAATGAATAGCCTGTGCAAAGGCCCAGAGTTTAAAAAAGCACACTCAACTACTGTGAATAAGTTCAGTATGGTTGCTGTAGCAAATGAACGATAAAGCTACAGAAGTGAGGAGGGCCAGCCAGCATAGATAGCTGGGGCACCACTGAAGGGCATTAGGCAGAAAATAAGTCACGTTTGGGTTTTAAAAAGTTCTCTGATTGCAATGTGAAGGATAGAATGCAAGGGCAGAGATCTCTATACTTCTGATTTTCCTGCTTGGATGAACAAATAAAATTGTGCTATATGGCGTAGTAGTTTGATTTTAACTATCTCAGTCTTAGTTCACATGCAAAGTATTTTTAGTTCTTCAGAGAAAAAAAAAAATTCCACAGGAATATATAATTCCAAGGCAGCACCATTAAAATAAAAGTCAAAAGGTAAAAAAGGAAATACATTTGAAGGAAGCTGTGCTAATTTGGGGGAGATAAATTATATTCAAGAGTAAAGGCTAAAAAATAAAAAAACTAAAAAGAAATTTTAAAATCCCACAGTGAAACTATTTTGGATGTAATTATGACTATAACCACTAACTTCCTACCATCTTAAACAACACAAACAGTTGTGGAAGCGAGGTTGAAAAATGTCAAAACATGATGGAAAACAGTACAGAAATACTTAAAATCAACTCCTAGTTTAAAATTCTACAATATTAATATAAGATGGTATTCTAGTTGTTTAGGAAGTCTGCTGTTAGTGCCAACATTCTCTTCAGTTGAAGGTACAAACAAAAGTCAAACCAAACTAGAAGGAACATTATGGTCTAATCTCCTGGTACTTATACATACCATATAAAATCTATTCTTTTTGAATGATGTACAGACTATTGTTGGGTCAGCTTGAATATTCTGAAGAACAGGATTTTCAGAAGCTTTCATCTCTATAGTAGTTGCAGCACGATGCTTTTTGGCTATCCCCTGGAACAAAGCCAATTGCATCACTCTGATATTTTCTTGTTTGCCTAAAATCCGCACACACCTAAAAATATAACAATGTTTTTTATACAACAAAATCACTGAAGTTAATTCCAATTATGACAACTTTACAGATAAAAGCTGGGAATCAACTATCTTATCTATGTACAACATAACTTGTGAAAGTTTTTTAAAAGTGTTTCTCTACCCCCAAAAAGCTATCAATTTAAACTGGTAGGCAGCTATAATTTTCAGGTTAAAAAATAGAAATGAGGCCAGGCACGATGGCTCACACCTATAATCCCAGCACTTTGGGAGGCCGAGGCAAGCAGATCACTTGAGGTCAGGAGTTTGAGACTAGCCTGGCCAACGTGGTGAAACCCTGTCTCCATTAAAAATACAAGAAATTGGCCAGGCATGGTGTTAGGCACCTGTAATCCCAACTACTAGGGAGGCTGAGACACGAGAATGGCTTGAACTCAGGAGGCAGAGGTTGTAGTAAGCGGAGATCGTGCCACTGCACTCCAGCCTGGGTGACAGAAAAAAGACTCTGTCTCAATAAAAAACAACAACAACAAAACCCAATCAAGGGAATGAAAAGTCACAGACTAGGAGAACAGCTCATAAAGGACTGTTATCCAAAATATATAAAGAACTCAAAAAAAAAAAAAAAATCTATATATACAAAGAACTCTTAAAACACATTAAGAACACAACCCAATTACAAAATGTCCCAAGGACCTTCACATATACTTCATCAAAGAGATATACAGATGGTAAATAAGCATATGAAAAGATATTCCACCTCATATGTTGCCAGGGAAATCCATACTAAAACAAGATACCACTACGCATCTATTAAAATGGCCCAAATCTGGAACACTGACTACCAAATGGTGGCACAGATGTGGAGTGACAGGAACACTCATTCATTGCTGGTGGGAATGCAAAAGAGTACAGCCACTTCTAAAGGCAGTTTGGCCGTTTCTTACAAAACTAAACATTCCGTTATCATATGATCCAACAATTATGCTCCTTGATATTTATCAAAAGGAGCTGAAATGACTACACAAACACTTGTATGCAGATGTTTATAGTAGCTTTTACACATATCTGCCAAAACTCGGAAGCAACAAAGATGTCTTTCAGTAGGTGAATGGATAAATTGTGGTACATCCAGACAATGGAGTATTCAGTGCTAAAAAGAAATGAGCTATCAAGATGTGGAAAGGCATGGAAGAACCTTAAATGCGTATTACTGAAAGAAGCCAATCTGGACAGACTACATACTATATGATTCTAGCTATATCACATTCTGGAAGAGGCAAAACTATGGAGATGGTGAAAAGATCAGTGGTTGAACAGTCAGAGCAGAGGATTTTGAAGGCAGTAAAACTACTCTGTATGATAGTATAATGGTGGATACTTTTATATACATTTCTCCAAACCTATAGAATTATACATTTCTCCAAACCTATAGAATATACAACACCAAGGGTGAACCCTAATGTAAACTATGGACTCTGGGTGATGATGATGTGTCAACGTAGGTTCATCAATGGTAACAAATGTACCACTCTGGTGAGGGATGTTGATAACGGGGAGGCTATGTATGTGTTCGGGCAGAGGGTACATGGGAAATCTCTGTATCTTCCTCTTAATTTTGCTGTGAACCTAAAACTGTTCAAAAAAGTAAGGTCTATTAAAAATAATCAGTCATTTGTTTATACAGTTTTAACCTATTCTTATTAAAATTTCATGTCTGTTAACTGTTCTGCAAAACTTCAAAGATTTTGTATTGCCAAGAACTACAATATAAATATGTTTATACATGGAAATATATAGCACATTTTTTTCTCCTTAAAATATTAAGTTCTGTTCATTTACATTCAGTGAGAGTATCTGATTGTAGCTATTCTGTACTAAGACCAAATGGACTGTTTTCACAAAAAAGGCTTACTGTGGTTTCATGCATTTTTAACTTTTGATTTTATGTCTAGCAGGATGTAATGCTGAATTCTGTGGTTAAAATCTTTGGCAACATTTAACATGAACCAGGCTAATTTAAATCAATAAGCAAAAGACAGACAAACTTGTTAAAAAAAAACACACACAACAACTTGAAACTATGCATATCTTCTTTCCATTTCTTTTACAAACATGAGTGGAAACTTCTACATAAGAATATAAACAACCAAGAGACCACAGAAAAATCCAGTCAAAACATTTGGTTAAGTTTAGATATTTGGGGCCATTCCACTTGTCTTGGAACCAACAATACTCCCACTGTTCTCATGATGGAGGAAATGGTCCCCCACAAACACATTTTTAAAAAAAATACCTCATATTAAAGCTTACCGGTTTGTCTCTACATTTATAACTTTAATGCCCAGCATTGTTCCATACAGCACGAAGTGTCCAGTTTCATCAAAAACTATATTAATTAATCTTACAGCATCAACCTTCTCCAACTCACGTTCTACAGCCATTCGTCGGCCAAATTCCATGTCTGGTAACTGCTGCCTCATCTGCTGCAGTTCAGTAAACATCTAGGAAATAAACCATTTAGTAACAAAATCTCTATATACCTATATCTATATCAACCCATCTATCTATATATGCAATGAGAATTTAAATAGAAGCCGAATACATATTAAGAGCCACTAACCGTTTGTACTTCTTAAGAGGGATTCTAAACAGTATGAAATAGACATTAGTAAGTGCAATCACTAAAAAATAGTATTTCAGGCCGTGGTGGCTTATGCCTCTAATCCCAGCACTGTGGGAGGCCAAGGCAGGTGGATCACCTGAGGTCATTTCAAGAACAGCCTGGCCAACATGGTGAAACCCCATCTCTACTAAAAATGTAAAAACTTAGCCAGGCATGGTGATGTGTGCCTGTAATCCCAGCTACTCGGGAGGCTGGAGCAAGAGAATCGCTTGAACCTAGGAGGCGGACGCTGCAGTGATCCGAAATCGCACCACTGCACTCCGGCCTGGGTGACAGAGTGAAACTCCGTCTCGGAAAAAAAAAAAAAAAAAAAAAAATCGTATTTCAAAATGGTAACTGGTTCTTCTAATTTAAAACAAAACCCAGTTGGTTAATATAACTACTGGTTTCTCTACAGAATACATCTGCTGCCTTTTAAAAGTCACAGAGTAGCACTTTCCAATGAAATATAATGCAAGCCATATATGTAATTTTAAAGTGTCTAGTAGTTACATTAAATAAAAGAAACCGATGAATTTCATTTTAATGTTTGATTAAACTCAAAATATCCAGAATATCATCTCAACATTAACAATATAAAAAATTAGGATAGATTACATTCTTTTAAAAAAATATTAAGTCTTTGAAATCTTGTATTTACACTTTCAGCATATCTCAGTTTGGACTAGCCATCTCTCAAGTGCTCAGCAGACACATGGCTAGTAACTATTTATATTGGATAATGCAGCTATAGACTATGAGGTCCTTGTGCAAGGTTATGTGCCTGACATATAACAAGCTCTCAATTTTTGCTGAATGAATTCATCTCACTAATTTATAATAAATTCATGATATTTCAGAAAATGTTTCAAGTTATTTTGACACAGGGCAGTGAGATTACCATTAGGTACATGTGGTTTAGTAGACATGACTATTTCTATGAGTGTCCTTTATAGTTTGGAAAATTGGTTTACTTTTGATATTACACAAATTTCAAGATAGGCATCACATCTCTAACTGTATTAACATATTATGAACCTTCCAAAAGAAGATAATGATCTTTGTATTGTTTTCTACACAATCTGGGCATCAAACAGCAGCATTCAAAAATAGCTCTCCATTGCAGATGAAAGTAAGCCAGACTTCTGTCCCATCTAATTCTGTCCTTATTTCCTGCTTACATCAACCAAAATCTTGTGTTTTCTAGATAAGGTTAGAACAATATATAAAACTCAAAGAATCAAAAAGAGGTATGTGTGTTTGGGTATAAGCACAAGGTCAAGGTCTTACAGAACAGTTAGAAAGCCTAGTTGTTAGGTTTTTTTGTCTCTAGTCTCAAAGACAGAGAGACTGATACATATTACGCTGCTTATTTATGTGCCAGGAATAGCCTAGGATGCTGGACTACACATTTTGTAGGGAAGGGCCAATGATCATTTCTGCTAGAGAGAAGACTCAGTTTTTAAGGCATAAGGTCTGTAAGTGGTCATCTGTCCATATATAAGTATTCCATAAATGTTATCCAACCTGGTAAGTATCTGATCAGAATCTTTTTAGAGTGTTCTAGACTTCACAGCAGGGCTTATGTGATACGCCAACTGAACAGCCATATACAGTGACCCTGGTTAATAAATACTAAAAGATAACTCACACCATCCCATTCAATTGCTTTTCTGTTAAAGTAGGATTCTGATTGGTTAGAAACTACCCTCCTCCACTACCACCTCCTTGAGACTCCAGTCATTTACTAGTCACTAGCACTGTAAGTAATTTAACTGATGGTTGGCTTTTTTGGCAAGCTCTCATTCTGAATCTCCACTTCTGTCTTAAGTTCTACTACTGACTTCTTGTCACCTCAGGCCAATCATTTAAACAAATGTTGAAGACAACAATGAGCAAACAGAGTGAACTGAGCAGCTCAGAGTATGTGTGTTAAGAAACTTGTGTCCAGAGACTAGATTCTGAATATTCCTTTGCCTAAGGGATCTTGGACGAGCTGCAAGTTAATAGAGTTTTAAAATTTTATTTAAATTGCAAGTTATATTTAGTTATCTGCCACCATTAAAGAAAGTATTACCAATAAATGTTTCTCCTTAAAAGCAGAGTAGAAAGCTATCTTCTTCCAACAAGAAAATGTGTCATGAGGGTAATTTGGCTGGCAAACAGATCTTCACATTTGTCTGGAATTATATTACTTCAGACAGACAGACAACCAACTCATTTATTACCACGTGCTACCAACTCAAAAGGGCCACTAGGAAGAGTTGACAATTTATGAAGAACTTACAGCAGGGAATCCAATGCAAATTGGTCACTGCCAAGGACAAAAGAATTGACAATGTCATACAGTAAACATTGCAACAAAGGTTCAATCCGGATAGCCTCAGATTCAGAGAACCACTTGATAGCAATAGTTGCAATCACAGAAACCACTGAATTGCATGGATTAAAAACTCTTATTCCACAACTACATGCTGTAACAAATTCTTGTTAGCAGTCTAACAAGTGATGGCTAGAGTCACTCTTTCAAGATATTTGAATAACTCTGTGTGAGGTAATGTTTTTACTGTTGGAGTTAGAATCATGAGCTAAAACAGATCACACAGGGCTTAGTCTACTGGAGGTGATACACATTAATCAAATAATATGACCATATCAAATGCTCTAAAAGAAAGAGTGATCTATAGTCACATTAAAAAAAACTCTGCTGGCTTGGCACAGTGGCTCACGTCTGTAATCCCAGCACTTTGGGAAGCCAAGGCAGGCAGATCACTTGAGGCCAGGAGTTCAAGACCAGCCTGGCTAACATGGTGAAACCCATCTCTACTGAAAAAAAAAAAAAATTAGCTGGGCGTGGTGGCAGGCGCCTGTAGTCCCAGCTACTTGGGAAGCTGAGACAGAAGAATCGCTTGAACCCAGAGGGCGGAGGCTGCAATGAGCTGGATCATGCCACTGCACTTGAGTGCGACTCTTATCTCAGAAAATAATTAAGAAAAAGAAAACAAAACAAAAAAAACCCAAACTATGCAAGACAGGATGAACAGTCGAAGCCTCCCAGGGGAAGTGAGTCTTCATTTGAAATTTGAAGTACCAGTTCAATAGGTAACAGAGAAATATGAGGAGGGAGGGAGGGCCTCACTCCAAGTGGAGGAAACAACTTATAAAAAGGTCCTGTGGTGGGAGGCATGTTCAAGAAATAAAAAGAAGGCCCAAATGGCAGAATAAGAGGCAGGGAGGACAGTGACTTATGGTTTCACAACATGGTAAGCCATGACTCTGGTCTTGATCCCAAGAACAGAAGGAATTAACTGAAAAGTTCTAGGCAAAGGAATGACATAACCAGATATATGCTTTTAAAAGATGGCCCTGGGTGCAGAGTGGATATTAGGAAGAAGCCAGAATAAATACAGGTAGTAGGCCATGCAATAGATCAGGCAAAAGAGCATGAACTATGGTGACAGCTGTGCTGAAAAGAAATTGGTGTATTTATATTTAGAAAGCAAAATTGGCATAGAAGGGTAAAAGAGTTAAGGATAACTCTTAGATTTCTGGTTTGAGCAACTAGATGGATACTGGCACCATTTATGAAGACAGGAAAAGAAAGAGAGAGCACCAGGTTTGCTTGTAATAGAAGGCTAGAGAAGTAAATTTAGAAGAAGTCATATGGACAGGAGTGAATAGTGAGAAGGGGTCCTAGAATAAGTTTTGAGGATCTTAAGAGAATAGCTTGCAAACAAAACAAAATTGTAAAAAACAAAGTAACCACAAAAATAAGACAATAACTGACTTGGAAACGGAACATCATAAACCCCTAGAGAAGAGAGTTTCAAAGAGCAACACTACAAGACAGAAACAGTTGAATATCTTTAATGTGCTAAGAAAAAAAATAACTGTCTACCTAAATGTCTATGTGTAGAAAAAAGATCTTTCAAGAAAAGGCATAAAATAAAGCATTTTTAGAAAAGTATGGTTAAATTTAAATTACACTTACGCTTAGTGATTCATCAAAGACTCTCATGAGTTTTCCAGTTAAAAACCTGAAAATTCTAACTTTTCTATCAGAACCAATAGTAGCTATTTTCTTCCCATCCGGTGAAAAACATATGCTGGTTGGATAAGCCTTACACTTGGCAAATTCATATAAATCAGTGTCAGTTTTATATTCCCAGTTCACATTTTTGGGGAATTTATATTCATGAGGAGGCCCAGTCCAGTATTCAATCATCCCAGATTTGTCAGAAGACACTACTGCTTTGAAAACTGGGTTTAGCCGTATCTGAGTAAGAGGTGATGTATGGAGTTTGTCAAAAATATGAAGTGGCTGGTTATCTCCTCGGCCATCATAAATGAAAATTTTTCCCGTACTCTTTTCAGAAGCAGCAACTGAAGAAATTGCATCCCCTGGGCAATAGATCCACTCACACTGTCCAGGAAAATAGCTAAAATCGTAAAGAATTGAAAGGGGGGGAGAAAAATGGTCAGCACAACAAGCAAGAATCCCTCCCTATCCCACTACCAAAATGTCTTGGCCAGTGATTTAGACAGTTTTGGATTCCCTGCTCAAAAGTAGCAGAGACACAGATTGGGGAGGAACAGCTAAGAACAGTTACTTTTTTTTTGTCTTTCTGACCTCATCAATATAATGATAATTCTGAGAATCTGTCAAAACACAAGAAGAGAACTGCATATAGCAGCACATTTATTTCTCTTGGGCAGATAAGGAAACTTAATCAGATCTAGACCCTAAGACCTTCTGGGACATTGCTTTTTGGATCTCTCGACAACAGTCTATGTATACTTACTTTAAAATAGGTTAGCATGTAATAGTATACTTTATAAATCCTTTCTTGAAATATTTAAAATCAAATATTTTATTATGGCAATACTTCAAATAAAAATACTGTCCTAAAACATTCTCATTACTAACTAAATGTTGATATTAAAACTCTAAGCTTTAAACATTCTACCTGATGAATAAGGCATAAAATAATTCAGACTGATTTAATCAATTGTACTAAAACACTCAAAAATGAATGTTGTTTCCTTCAAGGTAGTGATTCTGGGAAGCGAAACTATTATTCTTTTTTTTTTTTTTTTTAAACCTTCCAGTATTTCTTTATTATACTTAAAAAATAAAATCTAATTTCTTTATCTTGGGTACAAAGTCCTGCAAGATCTGACTCCTGTCAACCTCACATATTCTTGTCCCCTTGCTTACTCTGCTCAACCCATATTGGCCTTTCGGTTTTTTTTTTTTTTTTTTTTTTGAGTTTTGATAAGTATACTTTTTATTTTTTTAATTTTTTTAAAAATTTAAGTTGTAGGGTACATGTGTACAACATGCAGGTTTGTTACATATGTATACATGGCAATGACACTATTATTCTAACCATGGTGCTGATGCTCAAAACCTTCTGGACCTCTTCTTTAAGAATTTCTATCAAAGTCTGAAATATACTCTTCCAAGTATTCTCAAAGGGCAAACGTTCAATATTTGTGAATGAAAAGCTTTGAGGAAACAAACCTGGGGAGTAAGACAGATGATCAAGACAGGTAACTATGTTTGTGCCATTCTAACCATAAATAATGAGACTGATTTCCTTCAGTGGCTCATAAAGTCATAAACTGATTTTGAAGGAAATTCTAAGATTTGAAATTATTTGAATTGTGGACATAATTCAGCCCACAGTTGGAATTCCATCAGTTGGAATTTCTAGAGACAGGGTCTTCAGGAGGTAATTAAGGTTAATGAGCTCATCTGATGGGCTTGTGGCCTTACAAGAAGAAAAAAAGATCTCCCTTTCCCTCTTTCCTCTCCCTTCCTTCTTCCTCCAACCATGTGAGAACATAGGGAGAAGCAAGAAAGATAGCCCTCATCAGAAATCAAACCCTGATGGAACCTTGATCTTGGACTTTCGAGCCTCCAGAACTGCGAGAAAACAGATTTCTGCATTTAAGTCACCTACTCTATGGTTTTTTTTTGTTATGGCATCCAAGCAGACTAAGGCAAGTCCCAAAACTTTCTGACACTGTTATGACTTTCAAGCTGACATTTATTTAGATGTGTATAAATTCAATATGTTATCTTAAAAAAGACATGCTTAAAACAAAGTATCAGTCTTAATACTGTACAATCTAACCATAGTTTTAGTATCAATATATTCCAAAGTTTAACATCACCAATAAATAGCTTTAATTCCAAAAATGTGAATAAACCTTATAGGAACTCAATTCTATATTACTAAGTAAAGCAAGGAAATTAACCATAAGTACCAGTAATTAGATATGACGGAGCTCCAGTAATATTACTAAGTAATGTCAATTTGGATATAAGGAATCCTTGTTATGATGATGTTTAGAAATTTCTGTGATTGATAACAAACCAGAGCAGATGCTTGCAAACATTATAAGGATTCACTGTATCTAACTTTCCCAAGAAAAACCCAAAGGCACATTTTTTTTTAAAAGATCTGGTAATATACTATTTAGAAATAACCTATTAAATGATAAAGTCTGATTTACAAATTACTTCAATAAGTTAAAATATATATGCTTTTTAAAAGACTCACCCAAGTTTCAGCATGTTGATCATGTCAAAGTTCACTACATCAAACACCTTCATTGCTTTATCATCACCCACAGAACAGAACAATGCTCCCTCGGAGCTAACTGCAATACTCTCAATAACTCCTATTTCAATAAATGAAATTAAAACATTCTAGTAAATACCAATAAAATAAATGTGCATGATTCAAAGAAAAAATTTTAAAAAATTTAAACTTTAATTAGTACAGTTTAGAAAAGAGCTACAAGAAAATGAGGTGAAATTCTTACCCAGGTGACTACGAAAATGTTTAACAAATTCAATTCCCTCTTCTATTTTTTTCCAGAACTTGACATGTCCATCATGACTGGCAGTAATAATAAAATCTGTTCTGCATATATGAAATGTTAAAAGTTAATTTCTAAAACAGATCTATGAATCACTCAGTATTCCCAAAGCAATCATTCACTAAGAATCTGACTTTTGCATAATGGGTTTTTTTAAAAAAACCTTTCTTTAAGCAGACCACTGTATTACAGAACACTGTAAATTTTGAAGCTCCTTTCTGGATATCAAAACAGTTACAGCTGCACTTAGTTTAATCTCAAGAGCTAGGATCAGAATTGAAATAAAATTTAAAATTAAAATTAAAATCTCACTAAGAATCACTATACTTTGGATTCCTTATTGCTAAAATTACCCTATAGACAGTCTTTTCACAAGAAAATAAACTATTTGTCAGTAGCTGATAAGTAAATCTAAACATACTAGTTTCACATACAACAAAATTCAACAAAAGTTTGTTTTATATCCTATACAAAGTATTTTGGTTACTTAAGTATCAAAAAGATTTTGTACAGAAGGATCTCTCCTATTAGGTATGTAAAAATAGAAATCATTTATGGAAACCCAGTATATGTCAGGTACTTTGTACATATTACCTTAGTAATTTTATAGCAACTCTATGTATTTTTATCATCATTTTATAAGTAAGAAATAGTTTTAAAATGTTAAATGTACTTGCCTCAGGTCCATATAGCTAGAGTGGCTTTCAATCTACCTAACCAAAAAACGTATATTCTCTGTATTACCTTCCACTGCCGTGGGTTAAAAAAACAAAACAAAAATATTTGAGAAGAGAGCGACAGCAATGCTAGTATCTATATGTTGTTCAACACACTGAGAACTTGAGACTAGAAAAGGTGCTAATATTTGGTCAGAATTATCCTATTTTTCATGAAATATAAATATTTTATTTAGATTTATATATGAAATTAAATGTGTCTTCAAGCCATCAAGAATAGACTGATCTACAAAAGCATAAAGTAATCCACCTACTTCCCATAGTCACTGCTAGTATCATCCAAGCCACCATATCTCATCCAGATTTCTATACCAGCTTCCTAACTTCTCTCCCTGTATCCATTCTTGACCTGTTTGAATCCATTCATCTCACCACAGCCAGGGTGGTCCTTTAATAAAAATAAATCTGATGTTACTCTCCTGCTCACAGGTTCAAAACTCGTACAAGAAATAAAAAGTCTTCTAGGATTTAACCCTTGCCTTTTAAATAGCAGCCTAATATGCTATTTAACCTCTCTAAACTTCAGTTTCCTCATCTCTAAAATGAAGAGCATGTACTAACTCACAAGATTATTCTTATGATAAATAAAAAAATTTATGAAAAAGCCTTAACTTGACAGATAAAAGAAGAAAAAGCCTTAGCACAGTACCTGGGACATATTATGAGCTCAACAAATGGTATAATATTACTACAGTTTGAGTATCCCTTATCCAAAATGCATCAGACCAGAATTGTTTTGGAGTTTCAATTTTTCAGATTTTAGAATATTTACATTATACTTGCTGGTTGAACATCCCTAATCAGAAAATCTCAAACGCTCCAAAGAGCATTTCCTTTGAGCATCATGTCAGCACTCAAAAAGTATTGGATTTTGGAGCATTTTAGATTTTGGGTGCTCAACCTGTACTATTATTATCCTTCTCCAAGATCCTACTCATCTGTTTTGAAGGTTCTTTGCTATTCTTAGGGTATCTTAGCCCACATTTTCTCCACTAGTACCAAAGAGGCCAGGTACCAATTATTCGTATCTTAACTAATGTACCCTCTTCTTCAGGGAAGCTCAGACACTTCATTCCCCTCTTGGCATTTATCTCCAAAGACATACATATAAACTAAGGGGTTCTGTCTTAGAGAATTCATTATTTGTATGATATAGGAAAGAACATGTAGGACTTTTATTTATTTCAGAACTAATGAAATTAAACAAAAATCTATAAAATTTTAAAAGTACCTCTATAAATCTACCTCAAAATTGAAGCTTTTTTTTTTTTTTTTTTTTTTAATAAACTTCTCAGAACAAAGTAAAACAATGTGATAGACTTACTTGGTGCATACCACATGGGTGATAACATCTCTATGCATGTAACTGCGCTCATACATGGATGCACTGGGGAGATTATCAAGATAGACTCTTTCAAACTCTAAGACTGAAGAAAAAAAAGTAAAGTATAAAATATATTTTTAACAAACAAACCAAATACTATCTTGTATTTTATTTAAAATTATCTATACTCTACTTACTATTTTCTCCCAGATTTTACTTTTTCTCAATTCACAATTAAAAAATCCAGTATTTTATGTCAGTTTTAACGTCTATTATTTCAGAGCACTGAATAGCACCATGATTTAGTGAGTTACAACAGGTTCCCAGGTATTATATACATGCTAACTGTCCCCAGGACTTAAGAAATGAGTGGTTCTGGCTTAATGTGAATGTTCTATTAAAAAGAAAAGAAAAGGCCGGGTGCAGTGGCTCACGCCTGTAATCCCAGCACTTTGGGAGGCTGAGACGGGCGGATCATGAGGTCAGGAGATCGAGACCATCCTGGCCAACGCGGTGAAACCCCGTCGCTACTAAAGATACAAAAAAAAAAAAAAAAAAAAAATTAGCCAGGCGTGGTGGCGGGCGCCTATAGTCCCAGCTACATGGGAGGCTGAGGCAGGAGAATGGTGTGAACCCAGGGGGCGGAGCTTGCAGTGAGCTGAGATCCTGCCCCTGCACTCCAGCCTGGGCGACACAGCGAGACTCCGTCTCAAAGAAAAAAAAAAAGAAAAGAGAAAAAAAACTTAAAAAGTTTCATGAAAATATCACAACCATCTTCCTGACATTGTAGATATAATTTAGTGCTAACTTAAAAGAGTCCAGTGGCCATCTGTAATTTGTCTCAGTTAATATTTAAAGCACTGATTCTCTTTGAAGTTACTGACACTGTGTTTGAAACATTTAAACATGGTACAATTCTTAGATATTTACGCCTGAGAACATCCTAGGGGGTATCCAGTTGAATGTATCTCAAATTTTTTCCAAGGGCAAAACCTGGAAAAAATCCACCTGAAAGACTAGTAATCTGAGGAATGTCAGGAAATACTGATTTACTATATGAGGTATGAACAATTTTACTAGCAAAAAAAAAAAAAGAAAAGAAAGAAAGGGACGGAGGGAATGAGGGAGGGAAGGAAGGAAGGAAAGAAGGGAGGGAAAGAAAGAGGAAGGGAGGGAGGGAGAGAGGGAGGAAGGAAAGGAAGGGAAGGAAGCAGAGAAGGAGGGTAGGGGAGGGGAGAATTACATGTATCCCAAATAAAATAACCCAACAATGGCCAAACGTGCCTAAAAGTTGCTAAATTAAACATGATGAGCTGTTTCAGGCTTGTTTCTGATAAATTACTTTTCCCTTCATTTTTGGGAACAGAACCCCCATTTATATATGGGCATATTGATGTCCAGCTATAACATGACCTTTCTCACTTTCCCCTGGAGTGAGGTTTAACCATATGCTAATGAGTAAAAGTGGAAATGTTTTGTCACAGGAAGTCTTGAAAAAATGTGCCCTTCTTGCTTTCCTCAATCCTATACCTTGGAACTGGGATATGACTGCTGTAATCTTAATCATTCAGAGAAATAAAGATGAGGGCTGTACCTTCGTTATGTTAAGGCAGAAAGCTGGGGAGAGCCTAGGAACTTCTGGAGCCTCCACACCAATCCTGCACTGCCTATCTTGGTACTTCTACACATAAAAGAAGTGAAGCACTATCTCTTCAACATCATTGTTATTTTGGGTTTTTCTGTAATATGTAGATAAAGTTAATCCTATCTGATTCAGATTCCTTTTTCTGTGTGATAGTTCATTTGTGGACAAATACTTATTAAGAACAAAATGTGTTCTAAGTCACATGGGCATAAAGAAGAGTAAAACACAGTTCCTGTCCTGAAGAGGCAGTTTAAAGTTCAGTGTCATATAATCATGTCTTTTTGAAAATATATACAACAGTCCAATGTCCAAAGAACATGTTAAAGGGGGTGACTCCATTTCTAGAAAGCTGAAATTGTTAAACACTTGTCCATTTAGACAAAATTTTAAATATTTTTGTCACATTCCATGTATATTTTTTAGTTTCAATTTTTTTCTTCAAACTGAATACACTATTGGCTGTCTTTTTTTTTTTTTTTTTTTTTTTTTTGAGACAGAGTCTTGCTGTCTTGCCCATGCTGAAGTACAGTGGAGCAATCTCGGCTCACTGCAACCTCTGCCTCCCGGGTTCAAGCGATTCTCCTGCCTCAGCCTCCTGAATAGCTGGGATTATAGGCGTGTGCCACCACGCCCAGCTAATTTTTTTGTATTTTTAGAAGAGACGGGGTTTCACCATGTTGGTCAGGCTGGTCTCGAACTCCTGACCTGATGATCTGCCCGCCTCAGCCTCCCAAAGTGCTAGGACTACAGGCGTCAGCCATCGCACCCGGCCAACTATCGGCTGTCTTAAAACAATAAACAACTGATTAAAGATTTTCACACCTACTAATTTATATGTCTCAGTTATATTAAGTTTATAAGTCACTTGTCTGGTAACACTAATATCAGCATTTCGATATTTCTGGATTTTTACACTTCTCCTTACTCGTTTAATTAAAGAAGAACTTGCAAAAATATTCCTATGCAACAAAATAGTTAAAGACCAGCATAAACGCTTTAATATTCATTCATTAAATAAATACTTAGGCAAAACACTGTACACTAAGCAATGAACAAAAAAGGCGGGATCCTGGTTCTTACTTGCTTACAGTCCTAGCAGTGGAGAGAAACATTCATCAATCACATGAATAAATATGTAAGTAGAAACTGCGGCAAGTGCCATAAATAAAATGGTTAGCATGGAAACATTTAAGAAGAGGACCAGGAAGTAAAAATGATAATGCACTGTAAGGGTGTCGATATACAAGTTTCAAAAAAACAGCTTCTTCAAAATTTGGATACATAAAATTTGAAGGCTACCTATAAATTCAGTGTTGATAGATAACTACCTCAGAATTATGATCAAAGTGCTTTAGAAATCCAGTCCAGATTGGAGAAGTCACAGGCTTCCCAGAGAAGATGATAGCTAAGTGCTAAAGGTTGACCAAAAGTCAGTTCAGTGGAAGGGGTGAGGAAAATTATTCCCGGTAGAGATACCATATCTGGGTAGGAATCCAGAGGAAAAAGAGTACATGACCCATTCTCGAGTGATTTTAGAATGGCTGGAGTACAAACTAAGGGGTTGGAAGAGGAGGATAATGGAAGATGCACTAAGAAGGTAAGGAGAGATCACATCATAAAGGGCTTTATATACCATGTGAGGGAGTTTGGGCTTTAATGAAAATAATGAGCCGGGCGCCGGTGGCCCATGCCTGTAATCCCAGCACTTCGAGATGCCGAGGAGGGCAGATCAAGAGGTCAAGAGATCAAGACCGTCCTGGCCAGCATGGTGAAAACCCGTCTCTACTAAAAATACAAAAATTAGCTGGGGCGTACGGGCGTGCGACTGTAGTCCCAGCTACTCGGGAGGCTGAGGCAGGAGAATCGCTTGAACCCGGGAGGCGGAGGTTGCGGTGAGCCGAGATAGCGTCACTGCACTCCAGCCTGGGCGACACAAAGAGACTCCATCTCAAAAAAAAAAAAAAAAAAAAAGGAGAAAATAATGAGAAATCATTGAAGAGTTTTAAGGGAAAGTGCTAAAGTACGATTTGAGCTTAGACCACATTTAAAATGTCCTAAATACTTAAGGAAAACATTTCACAGAAAAACAAGACAAGAAAACAACAAAGAAAACTTAATCTACTCCTTTTCCCACCCCTTTTATTTGATAATAATTTGTGATTATTCCTCGTTAGTGACAAAATGCTTCAGCCCATCGTACCAAGAGTATGATTTCAAAACCACAGACTTCGGGTTTTGGATGAAAACAAATCTGTGATCTAGGAAGCTTACGTGACTTTCCCTAGATACGAAAATTTATTAGTGGAAGTGTCAGGGTTGAAATTATCTTTACCTACCATGATTCGAAACAAGCACCGCCTTCCTCTCGCGCCCCAACATTAACGCATTAACACCACGCCTGAACTAAAGCCTTAAAGAGAACTAGTACCCTTTTCCATATCTAAATAAAAGTTCAAAATTCCAACTTCATGTGGCTGCTGTGGGGAGTAAATGAGAGAAGCCAAACACGTAAATATAGGAAAATGTTAGTTTTAGCATCTATCATAACAAATCAACACGTTGTACTACGCTTAAATCACTATTTCGTTAAGACATGCAAGTATGGAGTGGCTAGAAGTGAGAGGACGGCCCTCTGTTCTGAGGGCACAAAACTCCACACACCATCCCTCTTCGGATCTGGCTTGAACTCAACCCTCCCACTCGGCGAATGCAGCACTCCAATTCGTCCGGTACTATATCTGCAGCTACCTTTCCTCTTCTTGGCCAGTGTTGCCTCCACAGGTAAAGGCCCAACCCAGCGCTCTTCGTTCTCCTCATCGTTCTCCTGGGACACCGCCACTGCTACTGCCAGTTCTCTTTCGCTGAGTTCTGTTTTTTCCGATTCCTCCAGGTCCCGACGCCTTCTCCGTCTCTGCTGAAAATCGCTACCACTTTCCGCCGCCATGTTGTTCGCGTCGCCAGAAAAAGCGCGACACACAACACGGCAACCAATCCCAAAGCAGCGGCGCAGTCTTCTGTTAGCGTCTGAGCGAGCTTCGGGATTGGCTGAGTGGGAAAGAACAGCTCCAATGGGCATGCAGCGCGCGCAGACGTCCGGGGCTGGGAAGCGCTGCCTACGCAGCGCGGAGGCGACCTGGAGTTTGTGGCGTTGTGATGGTAAGAACTGAGCTGGGGAGGGCGATATAACGGTTGAAGCTTGTGGAGCTCCAGTCCGGAAGGTGCAACCCTTACCGCCGGCGTACTGCATACCTGACTTCCAAACCCGGCTTTGAGCCCCGTTTTTCTCGGCTTCCCGCCCGCCAGCGCCAGCTCCAGAACCTCGCCAGTATCTAGAGAAAGATGGAGGGGTGGGGACAGAAGGAAGTGGTTAACTCGCGGGGTTCCTTTCAAATGCACTAGACCTGTTTTGTCTTCTGACCTTTATTCTCTCACACACTCTCTGAAGAAGGTGGTGAGTGCTTGTTACCGTTTCTGGGGGTGGAGTGGAGAAGCAGCTACTTCAAGTAACCAAATGACCTAGGGCAGAACGGGTCACCCTTCTGTCTTCTCCCTGATACAGGATTTCATCACCTGGCAGTCATCTGAACTCTTTCTCCTCCTCCTCGTCTGTCTTCTTCATTTTTAAAAAATTAGGTAAAAAGCACATAACATAAAATTTATGATCTTAATCTCTTTTTTAAAAAATCAAATACAACTTGTCAAAAATGACCTCCGTAAAACACTTTTTTTCTCCGCAATTACTTTTGCACCAACCCAATAAAATCCTCGTGGTAAATCTCTTCTCTACTTTTACCTTGAGATAGGCACCACGTACAGGGAGGAACTGCCCCCCATAGTAGGCTCGTTATTTTATTTCAAAGGTTCCCATTGTTTGACCATTCTACCTAGCCAGTCTCATTTCTTCTCTGCCCTCTGCTCTCATCAGACTACTTTCTTTTGTGTCTCACAAATTTCCCTTGTTCGTTCATGCCTCCCAGTCTTATGTGTTTATGCTTGAAAGCATCTCCACAGCAATCTAGCCTTCATGTTTACAACTTCTCATTTTTCAGAGACCATGGCAATAATGAGGATGAAGATGATAATGATAATAATTAGCTAGTTAACATTTATTAAGCATTATTATGGACTAATTCCTTTGTTCCCGGTTGGTTTCTCTAACCTTCACTATCTTGAATTCTGATAGTACTTACAGGCAGTGGTGTATACTTTACCATTTCATAGCACTTCTGACTACCTGAAAGCATATCATGTGTTTAGTTGTCCATTCATTTATATTGTCTCCATGAGAATGGAAGCTCTATGAGTACAAAGACTTTTTCACCTACACAGTTAGTGTCTGACCAATGGCATACATTAACATATTTGTTGAATAAATGAATATATTTTAGAATTATGTGGGGTTTTTTTTGCTTATTTCATGTATATTGCAAGTTTCTTTAAGTATAGTATTATCCCTAAATAAAGAGATACTGTTTTTTTTCAATAAATGATTAAGTATTGTAGTCTTAACTGGGGACCTCAAAAGGTTGACTTGTTCCCTTTCCAGGAAGATAGGTTTAAGGATACGAAATATGGGAAGGGGAAAAGTTAAACTCTTAAGTGTGTGTGTGTTTTAATTAAACAACTGAGATTTATTTCTCACAGGTCTAGAGGCTGGAGATTCAAGATCTCGGCGCCATCAATTTCTGGTTCTTTTGATGACCCTCTTCCAGGTTACATACAGCTCACATCTTGCATCCTCAAGTGGTAGAGAGCAAACTCTTAAATGTTTCTATATGTTTTTATTCTAATGCCACATTAAATCGCCACGCCAGATAATTTGTTGACTATCTATCCCTCACCCTCCACCCCCACCACATGTGCAGAGTTTTGCATTACTTTTGCATATTGATAATATATTTTAGTGGTCAGTAAAGAAATATTTATGTTTGACTTTTTGGCTTAAAAATATTCTAAAATTGATGACTGATTTTGGCTTTGTAGACTTTAACTATGTCTTATGGGTATAGCAGGTGAGATATTGAGCCTTTTAAGTTGACATTCAAATTGTTAATAGCAAACACTGATAAAGATCTTTATATGCTAGCTACATTGCTTTTATATATATATATATACACACACACATACACACACACTTAATTGTCATAACCCTAGGGAATATTTAATGTTACCTTCATTTTATAGGAAAGGAAACTGATGCACAGGAAGTTTAAGTGACTTGCCCAAGTCTCATAGCTTTTAAGTTATCAAAACTGGGATTTAAACCTATATAGTCTGGTTGCAAAGTTCATACCTTTAAAGATTTTTTTTTTTCTTTAAGTAATGCGCCATAATTGTTTAGATTTACGCAGACATATCTATCTTTAGGATTATTCCTAGGCATAGAACTTCTGGGTCAAAAGAAATGCATGTGAAATTTTGATGGATATTATCATACAAAGTGGTTGTTCCACCAACAGTGCAAGCCTCTTATTTCACATGCTTACCAGTGTTATCTCTTACCAATTTTACATTATTGCCATTCTGAATGAAAATTAATGCTTGTTTAATTTGCATTTTCATAAATTATATATGAGCTTATGAATGTACTTTTTCTGTATTTAAAAGGTATTTGTTTTTTCTTTGAGTTCCTCATTCGTGTCCTTTGCGGGTTTCTGTTGAACTGTTTTGTTGTTTACGTTTTTATTGTAAAAATGCAGACACAAACCCACACAAAATAAATGTAAAGTTTACTAATTATTATGAGGTGAACACCTTACCATCATGCTAGTCAAGAAATAAAACTTTGATAATTACCTCAGAAATCTCTCCATTTGGCCCATCCCAGCTACAACCCTTCTCTCCCTTCCACTCTTCCTCCAAAGTAATTGATATCCTGACTTTTTTGGTAATCTTTTTTTTAAATTTTTTTAATGGTGAGTTGTTTGGTTTCTTCTTATGAATTTGTAGGCACTCGTTATACATTAAGGAAATTAGGTCTTGGGTTGCCATATATATGACAAGTATGTTCTCCTAAGTTTGGGGGTTTTAAATTTTAACTTTGTTGATGGGATGTTTGTCCATGCAGAATTAAAAAAAAAAAAATTATGTAAAGATTTTAGTTTTGCTTAGAAAGGTATTTCCTAGTCTAAGATTTAAAAAGTTTCTGTGTTTTCTTCCTATTTTTTATGATTTCTATTTTGGGTTTTTTGAGGGAGTGAGGAGTGACGTAAAGATTGAGGTATGAATTTAGACTTATTTTTTTCTCCGCAAGTACTATTCAGTTTTTAAAAACAAAAAATAAAAGGAAAAGATTTATATGGACTAAAACATACATTTAAAAAACAGTATTATATATAAAATACATATCTATTTGGATTATTTTTTTCTCCTTGATTTGCATTGTCATCTCTGTCATATGTCATGTGTCCATATGTATGTGAATCTAGAAAGTCAAGAAGGGCTTTGTTCGTTGCTCAATTTGCCTATTTTTGTGCCAATTCTACATTGCCATAATACTGTAGGGTATGTCCTCCCATCTTATTTTTCATGAGGAGCTTAGGCTAGTTTTAACCCTTTGTACTTCCATGTAAGTTTTAGAATTTGCTTGTCAAGTCCCATAAAGAGAAACAAAAACTTTCAGGATTTTGGTTAAGATTCAGTAGCTCAACTTGGGGGAGAGTTAATGTCTTTACAATGTGGATCTTTCAGTCCATGAATATGATGTATCTTTCCATTTATTTAGGTTTGCCTTAGAACTTCTTGTTAATAAGTTATTGATTAAGCAGTATAAAATGCCGAAGTTCCATATGAATAAAGATATTGAGGAGGCGTATTCTGGTTTGCATTCGATGTGGGGTAGACATCCTCATTCTTTATTGCACTGTCTACCTTCTTAAAATTGCCCGGTTTTGAATCTTACGCCACCAGATTCGGTAACCCCCTTCTATTCTTTGCAGGAATCATCTAGCAAGATTGTTTTACTCGCCCTCATTCCTTGAAGATTTTTAGCTCCTGGCTCACTGTTGCCCTTTGCAGTACTACTATCATCATTCTTAGTGATTTTAATATCCTTATAGATGATCCAATAATTTGGCCTCTCTTTTTCTTGACCTTCTCTTCCCTAGTGATTATGTTCTCTCTCTTGTCTTAGCTGCTTATTCCTATGACCATTCTTTCACTTTGTCCCTGTCTGTGCCTGTGGTGCTACACCATAGAAGAAAACATAACAACCATGCCCTGGTTTTACTTTAAACTCATGATACTAATCTCAGATGAGCCTGTAATGCTACTGCTGAATAATCCTGTAACTTTATCCTCTCCCATCTTTTTATATATCTGTTTTATACATCTCTTTTTCCTGTGCTCTTAAACTTGCAATACTTTCTTCCCATCCTTTCATAGCTGATGACTGTAGTTACCATTTACTGAGAAAAGAGAAACAATCCACATGGAATTTCTACAAGTTCCTAGCAGCACGTCTACTTACCTACCTACATCTACACTCTTGATATTCTGATGACCCTCCCATTAAAATGCATGAACTGCATGTCCATTTATCTTAAGCCAACCCCTCTACTTATGTTAGATCCCATTCTTTCTTTTCCCCTTTCTCTCTTGTATTAGCAATATTTCTTTCTTGTATTGTACCATATAAAGATACTATATTTTCTCCCATCTTTAAAAAAGAAAAAGTCTGTTTTAACCCTATATCTCCCTCCAGTTAGTAACCGTATTTCTCTCTTTTGCTTTAAAGAAAAAAAATTTGTGTGTGTGGTTTTTTGTTTTGTTTTGTTTTTGTTTTTGGTATGGTCTTACGGTCTTGCTTTGTCACCCAGGGTGGAGTGCAGTGGTGTGATCATGGCTCACTGCAGCCTCAGTCTCCTGGGTTCACTGGGCTCAAGGGATCTTCCCACTTCACCTCCTGAGTAGCTGGGATTACAGGCATGTGCTGCCATGCCTGGCTAGAGAAAAAACTCTTGAAAACATTTCATATACTTAATATTTTTAATTCCTTGCCTTCCATTCTTT